ATTTCCTAAACCATTTACTCACATCTCCAGGCATCTCATCTCCAAGATACTCTAAAGATTTCTTCCACAAATACCTTCCCAGAGCACAGCTATCACCATGCCCCCTCTGTCTTGGTGGTTCCCTGCAACCCAATGAAGGCAATTCCCTGGCAAGGCATTCAAGGGTTTTCATAACACGGTAAGAAATTAAGTGCAAGAAATTAAAACAACACGAAAGCATATAAAGTTAAAAGGGGACATTCCCATCTATTCCTCTACTCCCTCTCCCTGAAGAAGCCATCCCAACAATTTCCCACTCATTTTTCTAGCCTTATGTCTTCAGACTTCCTGTACTTCTCTAAGACCCCAGCTAAACAAGTACCCTTGCCAACTCTACATATTTTCCCTTGCTTTCCTGTTCTCAAGCCTTTACTCATAATATTCTTTAAATCTGGAATGTAATAGAATGTTCTTCCCTCCAGCTTTATCCAAATTCTACCGATCCTTTGAGACCTAACTTCCATGTCACTTGCTTTGTAATGCTTTCCCAATCCACTTATTAAAATCCCTGCCTTCTCCTTTGACTTCCCACAGCATTTCTTCTAGTTCCTGCATATATAGCACTTGTTACTTTATTCTCTACTCTTTGGGTACCAAGCCAGCCTCTGCTATTTAAATGTAAGCTCCCAGGGGCAAAGACCATTTCTCAGTTTCCGTTGGTGCCCCCTACCACCCGTACCCTTGGACCTTCCGTGCACATAGTGGGGATTCAATACATTCTTAGGAGTGAATAAGAGAAAAGAGCCTGGAGCCTCCAGACTGTGGCTTTGGCTTTCAATTTACCTTTTAAAATGCCAGTGGCTCTTTCAACAGTTTGGCTATTGTGGACGTTGCTGCTATGAACATTGGGGTGCATGTGGCCCTTCTTTTCACTACATCTGTATCTTTGGGGTAAATGCCCAGTAGTGCAATTGCTGGGTCATAGGGTAGCTCTATTTTTAACTTTTTGAGGAAAGAGCCGAGATGCCCTTCAACAGACGAATGGATAAAGAAGATGTGGTCCATATATACAATGGAATATTACTCAGCCATCAGAAAGGATGAATACCCAACTTTTGCATCAACATGGATGGGACTGGAGGAGATTATGCTAAGTGAAATAAGTCAAGCAGAGAAAGTCAATTATCATATGGTTTCATGTATGTGTGGAACATAAGGAATAGCACAGAGGACATTAGGAGAAGGAAGGGAAAAGTGAAGGGGGAGAAATCAGAGGGGGAGATGAACCATGAGAGACTCTGGACTCTGGGAAACAAACAGGGTTTTGGGGGGAGTTGGGGGATGGGTTAGCCTGGTGATGGGTATTAAGGAGCACGGAGCACTGGGTGTTATCCGCAAACAATGAATCATGGAACACTACATAACAACTAATGATGTACTGTACTGTATGTGACTAACATAACATAATAAATAAATAAATAAATAAATAAATAAATAAATAAATAAATAAATAAATAAAATACCAGTGGCATCACCTGTGATGAGTGGGTTCTGTTAGCATCTCAGTTAAAGGATGTGGTGAATCATCAGGGGCTTTTGGAATACTGACTGGTTCCAGGTGACTATCTGGAACACACAGAGAACTAAACAAGTAAACAATGACAAACCCCCCCCTCAAAAAAAACAAACAAGAAAACCAAACTATCAAAGTCCTGCTATTTTAGAGAATCATATGACTCTTTTCAAAATGTAGAGCTGAACAATCCCTCTCGTTGCTTCAGTGAAACCAAAACAGATATTTAACCTCCCAAAAAACCAAGAAGCCCCAAAGCCCCTAACCTTCCTTCCTCTGCCTTGTCAGGCTGCTTGCACAATGACTGTGTGGGGCTCTCTAGTGAACCATGAATTTAGTTTCATTTTCTTTTAGTACAAAAAATTTGAAAGAAGTCATTTTTTCAGCATGAAGTAGGGGTGAAGGGAAGGAGGAGGGTCACCAGAGCGGGGACAGCTTCCCAGCAGTCTCAGACTGGACAAGGTCAAATCTACTTGCTTTCTGCATTGAACGCAGCCCAGTGGATGGTTAATAGAAATTGACACCTACATAAGGCAGAAATCTTTCAAAACAACATCCTTATTAATTTTTTTTTTTGTATTTGGCTTGGTTTACACAAGCTTCTTGTATAAAATAATGCAATAGTAAAAGCCTAATCAGCTCCCAGGATCTTTAAACATTGTAACAAACTATCCCATTACCTGTTGCTTTGCAGCACTGATTCATCCACAGCAATTTCATCCTATCTGTAGTTTTGCCAAGAAATAAAATCAGTCCTTCATCAGTCCCTCCTCCAAATGCTTAGATCATTATCAATCCATTTGTGAGCCTACTCCTACTTAAAGTTACTGCTAGAACTATATCCAACAACAGTTAAAACAACTCAAAAACCCTTTCAACTATAAGGCTCTTCTCCAAAACTTTTACCTCATTTGTACTTGTACTTTACAATTTCCATTATTTTTTTTTTCAGTGACTTTCTACTCAAGTGAACTTAATTCATTTTCCAAACAAAACTAGTTTGTCTTGATAGTAGTATCAAGGGAGGAGAAGAGTTACTGAAAAATTTGACTATAATTATGACTTAGGAGAGAGATTATGAGATGCTGTGGGGAAGAAGAATTATGAGAAGGGAGATGGTGTGGGCAAGAGAAAATAGAAACAGAAAAGGTCTGGCACACAGCAAGGGGCAGGGCAGTGATATCAAGGCCATTTCTGCAGGGGCATAATGGTGTCTGTCTTTGGAGAAGGCCAGTGAACAGTTCCTTCCATCATGAGCACAGGGTTCTAATGTACGGGTACTGACTGCGACCTTTCCTATCAGTAGAGATGCCAGGCTCTGCTCTCTATAGCCAACCATGCCAACTGCTGCACTGTTCCTTACCTCCACAAAAAACCTCACCAGCCACCTAGGGCCCATCCTCACCCTTACCCCCCCACATCCATTAGTCACCAAGCCCTGCTCACTCTCCCTCCTAAATGCTTCTGATCCCCATCTCTCTCTCATCCCCATCCTTTGGCTTACCACTATGCTACAATGGCCTTCTAATTAGTCATTCATACTCTGTGTCCTCTGCCCTTCTATTGTGCACACATTTTTCAACCTGTCTTCCCAGCCTCTCCCTGCCACATCCCACCACCCATCCTGGCCTTCCACCTCCTAAAATGCTCCTTTCCACCACAAAGACCCCGAAAGCTATTCAAATGATTCCTTCTGCTTACAATATTGCTTCCAGCCACACTCCCCTCCTCATGTCCCTTTTTGGATCTTTCTGATCTTAACTTGAGGTTGGGTTCCCTAGTATGTGCCCCATCAGTAATACAGAGGTGCACTTTTGTAATTAATTGTTCAAATCTCTCTTCTCTGTTAGTCTCTAAGTGCTCTGAGATCAGAGGTTGTGTTTGTCCTTGTATATTCTTGTATAATATGGGGGTAAAACAAGAACTTATAGAATAAGGATTAGATGAGTTAATCCAATCAGACAGCTTTGAATACTACCTGATATATATGCAAGGGTTATGTAAGCTGTAGCCATAATAGTAATAATTAGCACGGTACTGGAACAAAGCATGTACTCAATAAATACATGTTGAATGAATAAAGGAATAAATAAATTGATGGATGAACTAATGAATTCACCAATCCAGAGGGTCTCCTTTTTTAAAGAACCAGCTGTTACCCATAACTGAGTACAGGAATATTGTATGGAAAACAGTCACAGAGAGGAATAATTGTTTTCCTGTCTACTGCCACCATGATAAATGGTAAAAATAGCAATTTTGGTTTCCTTTGATTTTGAATTTACTCTACTGTATTGCTAACTAAATATTCAAAGCAAGGAGATTTTGAATTAAGAGATAAAGGGATATAATATCACAAAGTATATTTCCAGGCTTCTTGACCTTGCCTTTATTAATTAAAAAGCGTCCTTCTTAAGGAGTACCATCCTCTAATTATTCCCAAGCTAAATCCTTTAGAAAACCACGCATATCAGGTCACCCATCCCAACAAACATTTATACAGAAAATTTCAACCTATGTTGCCAAAAAGGGAAGGTTTTCACCCCTCTGTTCTAGTACCTTCCATATTTCAGATTCCTCAATGTCTAAGAGAAAGGCACCAATCACATGACTGTACATCATGCTCTGCTGGTCTAACAAAAAGAGAAAATAACACAAACTAACCCGGGCCTCTAGCCAGGGTTCTGTAGTTGCTGAGAGGACATACTGATCAAAAGCTACAAGTGGGGAAAGTGCCTCTGAGTTGATCCAACCCAGTCAAATCCTACTATCTGACAAAGTTTTGTTTGTTTATTATCCTTTAAGGCAGACTGTGATAATATTTTTAAATTATTTTGCTGCAGATAGCTTATTCGGATTTAGAAATAAATACTGTGTCATCACATTGGCAATGCAACATCTGTCCTTATTCTTTCCCTCCTCTATCAGAGGAAAGGTTTTGTTCCTTTCTCTAACTTTAACTTTTCTCCGGTTGCCCTGGACCCATCTATTTCTGTCTCTGAGCTCTGTGACAATTCATACTTTGTTTTCAGTTCAGTCATCAATTTTGGAAACTGGTATTTAAGAGATTTGATAGTTATAAAAAATAACTATAACAAATAAGTTGTCATTTCTTCATATTTAAAACCAAAAAATGCTATGCTGAATTCCATTATGGAGCATGAGGAATGCCAGACTTGTTTCTTTTTTTTCCTTTTGAGGATAAATTTTACTTGGGGTTTTTGTTATTGCTGCTGCAGTTGCTGCTGGTACAACCTTAAAACCTCAGGAAATACTAGTAATAATAACAACAAGAATTACAATGATGAAGAATAGAATGATATAATTATTTCCATGTTTATTACTTTTTCTATAGATGTATAATTTATGATAGCCTATGTTTTCTCATTTAAGCCTATGTTTTCCATACTTAAGATAATTTATATATATATAAGTAAATATAACTGACCTGTTTTTCTGTGGAGCAAACTGGATTGGTACCCAAAAGTGCTGACATCCTGGACTTGTGTGGTTGCTGAGGATGGCAACATCCTCAGACCTTCAGGGTTCCCAGGTGGGAAGGGCGAGCTCTGTGAGTGTCTACATTCACTTCTATCCATGCTGGATAAGTGGAGAGCATCTTGAGCTTTCTTTTTTTCCTTCTTTAGCATATTGACCAGAATATCTGAAACTCGATTTAAGGATTTAGTGACTCATGCTAAGTTGGAATGATCAAAACACTAATGTTTCAATTGAGGTTAATATTTCCAACAATATTTGCTATTTGTCATATGGTAAAGAGACCACTGAAGAAGACTTCAACTTCTTGAAGTCATTTATCTAGTTATAGACAGTTTAGGAAGCAGCTGGTCTTTCAATATGGCACATTATATGAAAAATTAGCAAACCCAAAGGTCTTTAAAATGCTCTGAGTTTAGGGGCGCCTGGGTGGCTCAGTCGTTATGCGTCTGCCTTCGGCTCAGGTCATGATCCCAGGGTCCTGGGATCAAGCCCCACATTGGGCTCCCTGCTTGTGGGAAGCCTGCTTCTCCCTCTCCCACTCCCCCTGCTTGTGTTCCCTC